GGAAGGACGAACGGAACGGGAACCGTACCCTTACCCCCCTTACCCCTAACTAAAATAAGTAAGAAACTAATTATTTACTTTTATTTTATTTACTTATCTAGACATATATATATATATATATATATATATATACACGAATTTTTATTCAATTGATAATTTCACACTAATGGCCTAAGTGTTTGTGGTGGGTATTGCTGACTTCCATTTAGTTTATTAATTCAAGTTAGGAATTAGTGTGGATGTGTAGCTTTGCACTTAAATTGTACAACAATGTCATTTAAGAATCACTGTATGATATTTATACGATATGTAATAGTTTTCTTGAATGAACAAAATTATCAGTACATTAAAAATCGTTTGTGTTTTATGTTGTGGAGATTCACTAGACATTTTCCAAATGTGTTAGCTGTCTTTGTGTTTTTTTTTTCCTTCTTATGTCTTAAGTGGTCTTCTATGTTTTTGATTTTTGTATTTATCTAACTGTTTGACAAAAATTCACGCTTCTCGGTGACTCAACGGTAATTCTATGGGTTTATAACGTTAAAAATCACGGTTGGCATAGCACAGATAGCCCATTGGGTAATATTACGCTAACAATAAACGAACGAAACGCCATTTTGGGTGTTGGAGCGTTTTCCGTTGAGGAATTGCGTAATAAATTTGTTATAAACATTAATACAATCGGCGTGACCGAATTTTACACATTAAATCGTTTTAAACTTTTTTGTTTTATTAAGAAATACGAAGTAAAGACTTGTTTAGTCGAGTTCCTGCATAGAAAACACGACTCTCATCAGGTGAAAAGTTAAACAACATTAAAAAAACAAAATACTTTATAATTTTGTTTCTTGCTGTGGTTCAGCGGTAAGTTTTAGGTTTTATAACAATATAACACTAATAATCGGAGTTCAATCCCTGTGTTTGGCACAGGCAGATAGGTAGCACACAGCGTAACAATATATAATTTTCGTAGAAGGCACAGACTAAGTTGTGATTTTGGCGCCATCTATCAACATTTATATTTATTATCATTCATAATATAGAGTTTGTGTGTGTAGAGAGATTTAGGAAACTTTTAAACATGCTAACCTTGAACACTACAGTTTACGTATTTTTAGTGTGTTTATTTAATGTAAATATTATTAAGAAGTTTCAAAAGTAAGCTAATTTTGTAGATCAGAATTAAAAAATACTTATGAACAACTGAATGCAATCTGTCAAAACAAACTGACTAAAGTATTTAATTTTATAAACCATTATGCTAGAAAACTAAAGTCTTTACTGTAGCATGTATTGACTAATCAGTTGGGTACCTTTACTGTTCGCTATAATTTCAGCCATAATCCCAATAATATTTCACAGGATTCAGACACTTTATAAGATTTAGGTTGGGAACCACTGTCTTGGATAATGTGTTTAAGTTACAAGAGATAAATCAAAAGTGCAAGATAAGGAAAAAGTAAAAAGAATGAATGAAGAAGAAGAACAAAGAGTGATTAAAGTATGTGACAGAGATGTTAAATAAAGAAGGAGGAAGTGAGAGAGGAAAACAACCAAAGAGAGAGATGTAGGAAGTGAGAGGGGAAAACAATCAAAGAGAGGGATGTAGGAAGTGAGAGGGGAAAACAATCAAAGAGAGGGATGTAGGAAGTGAGAGGGGAAAACAATCAAAGATAGGGATGTAAAAAGTCAGAGAGGAAAACAATCAAAGAGAGCGATGTAGGAAGTGAGAGGGGAAAACAATCAAAGAGAGGGATGTAGGAAGTGAGAGGGGAAAACAATCAAAGAGAGCTATGTAGAAAATGAGAGAGGAAAACAATCAGAGAGGGATGTAGGAAGTGAGAGGGGAAACAACCAAAGAGAGGGATGTAGGAAGTGAGGGGGAAATGAGATTTATCAAGAATGTAAGAAATGAGATAAGAAAGTATGAGATAAGGATATAAGATATGAGATTGGAAATGTTGCAGATAGTAAGAATATACAAGATAGGAGAGGAAAATAAGAAATTAACTTCTTTCAAAAGTCATATCTAATTTTGAATAATTGTTATGAATTTTAAAATAATTAGTAAAGAAGAGTGATTTTGACCCTACCTTTACAACAGTGGCGGCAAAACTTAGATAAAAGACTTGTTCAAGAATTTTAAGATTTGCACATGAAATTAGGATTCCAATTTTCCTTCCTCAGATACTTTGTTAGCCAATGAGCTGTTTGTAAAAAAAAAAAATATATATATACTACATAACATATAGTTCATGATTGAAATTAGACTATTGTATCAACAAAATATTTTGAGAGCAACTGAACTCACATTGTTCCTGTGAATTGCTAGGTGCACATAACCAAGTTGTACAAAACGTTTTTTTTTTTTGTATCTTTTTGTCCACTTCTGCATTATGAAGTTTTTAGGTTTTTGTAGTTAGTATTAGAGATTGCTCTCTTTCTCATAATCAGGATGGTTAATGTTATATTTTGTGTGTATAAATATGTTTAATTCTGAGTAAATATAGCTTTGAAAAATACCCTATACAAAAAAATGTTTGAAAGGTAATGTTTTATGCATGTCTTTTTAAAGTAGGTTTTAGGCTTAGTGTGTGGGACCTATTGCTAGTTAATTAAACATTAGTAAGTGATCTGTTAGAGAAATAATTAATTAGATGTTCCTTACAGAGAGGAATAGTGTAGATAGCGTAGTAGGTTAAGAGGTTATATATTGACTAGTATTAATTATAATAAAGAGTGAATTAAAATGTCTTTACATCTTATTGTTATGTGGGTATATTTTGTCTTATTTTCACTCCAGTTGAAGCAGGTAACAAAAACACTCCTGAAACTTTACATTCCATCCATTCTCAACTTAAAGAATTTGAGAAAAATGTGTCCATCCTTGGAGCTGACCTTCAGAAAGTTATCAGTGAAATCTCTGTTTTGGGAAAGGAGGTAACTGTGTCATTTGATATGTGCTTATCTAGACTTAATGTTTTAAAAAATTATATAAAATTTTAATATTCCAGTTTCTTGATTTGTTAAAGTGCAGTTCTCATGACATATAAGTAGTTATGAATTTGACATGATAATTTCCTGGTTTCGTGAGGTAATTGTATCAGGTTTCATATAGATTATTTATTGTTTAGAATTAACACATGTATTTTTATTTGTCATTTTTGTCTCGTCTATCAATGTATTAGGAGTTGTATGCCATGCATGATCATCGGATGAATAGTAAAAGATGACTGATTAGCGTGACATACCACTACAGATAATGAAAAACACAACAACTGAAGTGTTTAATAACAGCATATTTTGTTGGATGTTTTGGAATATACACATTCCATCTTCAACAAATTACTACAATAAACAAAAAAACTATAATTATGATTAATCACTTAGATGTCAAACAAAACCTATATATTACGATAAACTGTTATAATTTGAGAGGGAATGTAAAACCAAGCAAGTGAAATTTGAAAATAATATAAACCCATACAAAATGAATTAGTAAAAGCATACAAAGCTGGTGAGAAAGAATTAGCTAGAATTAGGCTTAACTCAACAGAAGTTAAGTTATTATTGAAGCTGGGGTGATTTTGTTTAATAAGTAAACTTTCTTTAATGAGCAGCTCCAAGTCTGTGTGGCTTGTAGCTAAAACTTTAAAGTCAGTTAAGGATATTTTGTGTCCCATAAAATAACACAATTAGTAGGATGGGATAAAAAAAAACAAATTTTGAGTTTTTGTAGCAATTGTGTAGAATCCATTATGGGTTGTATGGATATAACTTTTGGATGAGCAGTCAGAATATCATGAAATACACTCTGGTAGATAAGTGGGTTCATTGTGTTTGGGTGCAAATTGAATGTAATATTGAATTGTTGCTCTTAAAAAATATTGGTTTGAAAGTGTAAAACAAATCTACATCTTATTACAGGTAGAACAACTGAAACAAACTGCTGGCAGTCTGAAAGAGAGTATAGCAGCAGCACCAGAAATAAAGGAGCTTCCAAAGGATGTTTCTTCACTTTCAGAGGTAATGATTTGGTTATTTTTCTTTACTTCTATTGTACTTAGAAGCATTTTGAATAATTTCTGGTGTAACAATTAGAAGAAGAAAAAAATGTAAGCACTTGTTGCGTCAGCGAGGTCACGTGATGTTTTTAGAACTATCTTGTTCCTTCGTGAATTGTCGGGAAATTACTAGATATAGGGTAGTCTGGTATATATATAAGAGGGTGACAACGTGACGGAATAATGTGTGTGTGTAGGTAATGAGAGAGAGACGTATTGTTGAAGTTAACGTTCGTTGATATAGCGTTTG